AAAATGTGTTTCTCTTAGTATCTCGGGCGAAATGAATTCTTTACTTCAATCATACTTTCATTCATCAGCGATGGCACTTTTAAAGGCTTTTTTCAAGAATCTTGAGGACCCCTCTCATGTAAAAAAGCCACCAATTTTAACTGTTTTCCTTTTAGATTGCTCAAGTTTGGGAAGAACACACGAAGAAGCAACGTGAAGCTGTCAAGCAGGAGCTTGTCGAGCTGCACTTGGATAACGTGATCAAGATCGACGACGCCTTTCGTAGTGTGAAAGCTAATCCTAGCAATTGAGATTGTTCCAAGCTTTTAGCACAATTCGTGTCGCGCAAAAAAAAAAAAAAAAAAAAAAAACACAAAAAAAAAACAATAGGCAGAGGAAGCCGCGTACTGGTGTTTTATCAGTTGTGTGAAAAAAAATAATTTACAATGTTTTCCTAAAAAAAAAAAAAAAAAAAAAAAAACCCTGCATACAAACCTTGCTGTGAAAAACCACCGTAATTATGATTCTTTACCGCCTGCATACATCCCGACAAGGATGGAAGCAACGCCCGACGTTTCGTTTTGGAGGACGCGATTCAAACCTATCAGCAAAAGAATGTGATACGCATGGCAATTTAATCTTGCTATTTATCTATAAGCAGTCATTCGACTTTGTTATGGATACTTGGACAATCTTCTGTGGGTATGAAATCGTCGTTCGCAAATGTTCCGACCTGCGAATTGGAATTATTTTGGGGTTTAGACGAGTCTTCTTTTTTTATCCGTATGCCTAATTATGAATAGTTTTAGTCTTCGTTAGTTCCATTGTTCTACGGATTTTCCACGGTTGATATATTAAGCTTCTGAAAATTCCTAAAATTATTCAGCTTAGGGATGAATTTTGATTCTTGTTCTCTGTGTCTAAATGGATAAGGAATCCTTGAAAAAGCGCGTGAGTAGATGACGGAAGAAAGTGCGATTTGCAGCCAAGTTACGGTAAAAGCAAAAAATGCGTGACTTTTATCTTTTTCCAAAAGAAACGTTGTTTAGGATCTCATTTATTGGGAAAGAAGTTTTTCTTTGTGAACGCTGATTTCCAAACAAAAACTGATATGCGATCCCGCAGAAGCTTTGCTTTCTGCATTTCTGACTTGATATTAATTGGTTGAGGGGGTTTTGTTTTTCTGTTTATGAATCAAACATATATAGTATTCTCATGGTCAGCAGAGGATTTGCATTCCTTGGTTTTATTGTAATTCATATTTTGACGATTATAGTCAATTTGATTATTTGAGGTGTATGACTTGATTAAAAATTATACAGTGGAAGATTATATTAATTATTAATTTGAAATTATACGGTACTGCTGAGGACGACTTGAAACATAAATTATTTTCTGCACACGCGCAGTTTCATTTTTGGTATTCCGTCAGATGTATTCATAAAGGAAAAATATGCTCAGCGTCACAAAACGCCGAGAGAAATGCATTCCGAGCTTTTTGAATTTTCGTTCAACTGATTTTTACCTTACCTTCTCAAATTGGCTGAGATGGAAAGGATTATAAGGTGAAGACCTTCTGAATTCAGATTTCAGCAGATTTCAATTACTGTACTGCAAATCGAAGGGAAGAGTGTTCTCTCAAATGATGATTACAATGTATAATTCAAACACTATATCAGAGGTTGGCTTATTTCAGCTTAGCGCTCCTGTCCGATTTCGTTTCTCTTTCTTGGACCACTTCTCTTTAGTTGATGAATTAAGCATGTGTGCATTGCTTTAATCTGAATTTAAAAGAGACAAAAATATGGAGAACTCGTTGAGGATTTGCGTACCATGCAGATGTTGTTTAAATTTTGGCTTGGAAGTCTGAATCTTTTGACATACATTTTATAAATTTTGCGCTCTCATTTTTTCTTAGCGATGCTATTTATCGTCAATCAAACTGCATGAATCGAGCGGTGCTCGTGTTATGTTTTCCTTCCGATTATGCTGAAAGACGAGTTAGTTTTAGAGTTAATATTGCGCTATATTATACGGAATACCCATTGGCAAAAATCAGATGCTTTCTAGAAATTTGTTGCTTCTTGGAGGCACAGGGGAAGAGAGAGAGAGGAAAATGGAAGAGTTTGTCATGTTTGAGAAGAATTTAGATGTAAGACCTGCTGTGATACGAAATTTAGATTGCTTTTGCTTACATTATCCCCGTTCACTCTATAGTGTCTGCGGTATTCCTATTTTGCAATGAGAGTCCCTGAATCTTTTGTTTCGTTTTTGGCTTGTCAAAGGCAGCTAGGCTGTACAAATTATTGCAGAAGAAAATTAAGAGCGTCAATGAGGTTCGATTTGATTTGTTGAAGGATCCTATTTACCGTTAGTCGGATATACAGAAGAAAGAAGAATGTTGCACTAGTGCGAGTAGTTTTGTGATTTTGAAGTTTGTGCGCTCGTTGTCGGCGTTTTGACATTCGAAAAAAGTTTTTTTCGCCGCCGACTGATTTTGTGTTCCGAATTTTTCTGCGGCGAATTTTATTGTACCTCAAACGCGTGAGGGAGGAAGAAATTCAAAATTTGCAAACATGTTCAACTGTTGGACTGAAGCATGATTAGCGGTGATTTTATCCTGTTACCGGCGCAAAGAACAGGTGATTAATCCATCGAGTGGTTTCCGTGCAGTTTTTATTTTATTCGCCGCAGGAAGTTGCGCGAATTCCTGAGACCTGATTTGGTGGGTTGTTCGATGATTGACGAAGGGTTGAAGGTGGGAATAAAGACGTTGGCGATTTGCATGAATACCTCATCATTCCTGCTGGTGCGAAAATGTCCATGCTAAAATAGGTCGCTTTATTTGCAATATGTTTCGAAAGACCTGACGGGGTAAGGAATCCGCTTTAAGAAAGTACGCTGTAGTTACAAATTCAAAACTTTTATAGCGCGCGGGAATACTAAGAAGCTGTACGTAAAATTTTTCAAATGCTTATTGTAAGAACTGAGAAAGAGATTCACGTTGGTGGTTCAAAATCCTATGATCTGGATCACATGGGAATACGACACACTCGCCATTCAGCCGAACTTCCGTTACAGCACAGCCCTGTTACAGAATTGCCGTGATAGAACCTTCCGCCAATAAATGGCTTTTCTACTCTTAAAAAGAGCCAGTCGAGATCACGTGGAATCCTGGATGGAATAAACTGGTGTTGCATTGTTCATGTTACACGAAGAGTAGGGTGAACCGATTAGGATATCAACAGGCGATTTTCTGTAATGTATACATATTTTTGCTGTAATTATTATAAATTTTAAAAACTCCAATTGCTCGACTTGGAGAATATCATCTGCTTTTTGCAGCTGGCATCTAGATTGGCTGAGAAAACATGACTCGGAAATATTTGTCTTTCTTCGAATAAGAAGGCCGTCTAGCAAGAAATGAAACGTAATTTCTATGGAACGCACACTGCAATGCTCTGTCCGCGGAAGTGCCTGTGTGATGGTTCACCACGGAAAGAGCGACACCTACACAATTGTACCATTTGCGCGTGTTGGAACAAGGCGGCTTATGGAATCCACATGCGGTATCCTTGACGGACTCATGCTTCGAAGGTCTCAGTCATACAGAATGCGATGTGCGAGTTGGATGCGGTGCGCTTTCAAATCGTGCTTGAATAAGAGAGGTGTCGCGAATTTTATATTATTAATTACTTCACATATAGCGCCGTAGTTAAGTGTTAGCCTATCATTTTCTCGTGACATTTGTGGTTTATACCTCAAGCTCCAGAAATCCGGAGCTTGACATGTGCATCCAATACAAGGCGAATGCGCCCGATTTTGCGAAACATATTATTTTTGCATTATGATTCTGGGTCATGTTGTATGATCGCTTGGTTACTTATTCTTTTGAGCTTTGAGCGAGGCGCCGTCACTCATCGCGTATTCCCATGCGGACGGATCAGCAGAACGTTTTTCGGGGATCATAACTACCTGAACCGCGGGCATCCAACTTTGTGGAAAGCGTATTCGAACTTTTGCCGAGTGAGAACGCTTTACATCCTGAATTTTGAGGCAATTGTCGAGTGAAGGTGATTTTTAACCAAGAGCTGATGCATGATCAGGTTATGTAGTCCAATTCTGTTCGTGCCAATCCCTCCCCCCCCCCCGCCGACCTCAAATTTTCCGTTATCTATAGCCCTCATCCGTGGTACTGAGCCGGAGCGCGTTCATTCCTGCTGTGGAAGAGCGATTTCAAAGATTTCGGGCAATGACCCGCTCGCGCCAGTTGTATCCATGCGGAGAGAGAGTGAAGTTGTGTCCGCGTTCTATTCTCGCGGCGATTCAAGTGAGCTTGTGAAGTTGTGAAGGGGATGTGGTACTCAGCTTCGGATTTTCTAATATAAATATAAGCACGTTGCATAATTTTTTAAACTTTTTTGCACTCTTTCAAGAATTATTTCCATGATCACTAATAAATGGACTGAATGAGTGAACGGATGGGAGGGCTGGTAGCAGGGATGTCATCCCTACATGGTCGGATCTTTATATCTATAATTCCTTGCGTCGAATATTTGATTGCATTTGTTTATTACGGTACATCAGATTAGACAACGCGAGGTTTTCTGAAATTTGATTTTCTCAATCAGCAAATGCGTACGAGATTAACTTCCGTATACGAATATGAAATTCATTATTTTCACGTGCAACCTCCGGCAACCCTGTTCGTGGAGGTACAGTACAGCGAGCCCAGCTGGACCAGCAGACGGGAGGCGCGGCGACGGTTTCCTTATATGGAAGTCAGTTGTGCGGTTGTTGCACGGAACTGCTCGCGTAGAGTTCAGGAGTTATACGTTTTTTCTTGGGATGACTGGGACCGCGCGGAAAACGCACAAGATCCTTGAAATTCGTTGTCCCATGTTTCGCGGTACGGTTAGGGACTTGTTCGAACTTGCGTTCAATGTAAGATGCAGTCAGGGGCGAATGCCGAGTGAATGGGTTGTGATGTTCAGGGAATATTGTTCGTGACGGGGAAGTGTATGTTCGATGAGTTCGGAGTTGATAGTCTCGTTAACTCGCTCTTTGTTACAAAATCTGCTCTTCATATAAGTGCGTTCGTGAATTGAATGAGTGCAGTTGAGTTGTAATTACGAACGTCTGTTCTTCGTGTTCCAGATTTGCGTGTGAAGATCGCTGTCGCGTATTTGTAAACGTTTTCGGCACAGTTCAAAACAAAGGTGAATTTCACTAGTATCCAATAATTCAAATTGTTACTTTCCGCTTCATTTCTTCGATGGTGTTTCAGTGAGTTACTATGGCACGTACCAAGCAGACCGCCAGGAAGTCAACCGGAGGAAAGGCTCCGCGAAAGCAGTTGGCTACTAAGGCCGCTCGTAAGAGTGCTCCGTCTACCGGAGGTGTGAAAAAGCCACATCGTTACAGGCCTGGTACTGTGGCTCTCCGTGAAATTCGTCGCTACCAGAAGTCAACTGAGTTGCTCATCCGTAAGCTCCCGTTCCAACGTTTGGTTCGTGAAATCGCACAGGACTTCAAGACAGATCTTCGTTTCCAGAGCGCAGCGATTGGCGCCTTGCAGGTTGGTTCTTCGAAATCTTGAGAAACGCTTTAGATTGTATTGGAATCTTGAATTACCTGTGTTGGCTAGTCGTACAACCTGCTGCATCCTAGCGAGATTATTGGAGTTTCTGATGTGCTCGAGCGAAGTTGAATGTTTATTCTATATCGTTGCAGGAGGCAAGCGAGGCATACCTTGTCGGGCTTTTCGAAGATACCAACTTGTGCGCTATTCATGCTAAGCGTGTAACCATCATGCCAAAGGACATTCAGTTGGCTCGCCGCATCCGAGGCGAACGCGCTTAATCATTGCACATGCTTGCGCGTTACTCGAGTCGTTTTCCTCTACGTTTTTTTTTCTTCTCCCAACCCGACGGTCGTCAATTTATTTCAGATCCACTGCCGCGAGAGTGGGTTGAACACAGCACTTTGAGTTGCGAGTTTGGTATGATTGTGACGGTGGGATTTGGCGGCTCGGCCGGTGGTTAATCCCCGAGTAGTGGGCTGACCAGAAATTTTCTTTCTGTCGGTTTTCTACTTTACAAACTTTTGCAGTGTGAATGATGACTCTTTGAATTGTGCCGCTTTATTCTTCGTAGTAAACGGAATGTGTGATTTACTTTCCCCATTCACCTATTATCGGTTGATTCCATTTCCTCGGCGTTCGTCGTGTAAATATTCTATTATGTGTGAATCGACAAACTTCGGTTTATTATTTTTTGGTTTCGACATGATCTGTTATGCGTGAAGTACTGTTCGTCTAAATCTCCGGGGGTATCTTCAGAAATTCGTTTTCCTGCTTTTCTGTGCGACAAACGCGATGTATGTCTTGAATTTCGATTGGAATTCATGCAGAGCTGGAGTCTGATCTCATTTGTCGTAATATCCTCGCCGCGCTGCCGAACAAGACCGATGGCTGGAGCTGCCCAGCTCCGAAATCGAGTGCTGGATGTTCATTTTTGTTTCAGTCTTATTTCCACCCCGGGGATCTTTCTTATTTTCATTGAACCTCTTCGCAGTATATTAAAAATCTTCATTGTGACGTTTTCTTGCAGTCTCTTTCTTTTCGAGAAAACGATAAGCTCGATTGCATGCGTGTTGAGCAGATCGGCCGTCACCGCTCAGATTTGTTTTGATAGGAAGATGTGAGAGCACTTGATGCATAATTCCAGTAGTTGGTGCCCTTCTTGATGTACATTGTTGACATATTGTCAGCTGTCCGAAGTGTCCAATTCGTAATGTGAGTTTCTTATCGTGAATGGTCGGGTAGCGACGTTGATGTAAAGATCGATTTTGGAGAACCAATTTTGTATTATTTCTCGGTGATGGTTTGATCAGAAAAGTTACGCAGCGTGTTTTATTGATGGCTTCGCAGGCTGGAGACTCGTTGATCATACGACGACCACAACTTGAACGTCGGTGGCGTGTAGGAAAATCGGTGTTCGTTACTTTTACTGGATATCTGAGATATTAAGATTAAGAGCATAATTCGTGCTGTAATGGTCGTGAACTCTCTATGCATCGGAATTCATGGAGTCAGAAACAAATTTATTCCAAATTACTTCTACAACATGGGGGAACTCTACTGGACCAACAGAACCAACTCATACAGGGAAGTTTCGTAGACGACATTGTCGAAGTGCATGTAGAATTATGTATTTGAACATCTAGATGAACTACAGTAGTAAGTTCATTGAAGAAAAGTTTCATTTTCCGTATTTTTTCTCATTACGAATAATGTAGGGATATCCCATCCATGTGTATCAAACTTAGGGTTTTTTTTTCAATGCCATGCAAATGTCGAGGTGTGATGCTCTCTTCTTGAAGTAACAATTCGTGCTCTCCTGCGCTGGCCCCTTCACGGACGATAATAACTTGACGCAAATGTTGACCACAGTACTCTTTACTACACATAAACCCTTGAAATCCCAAACTGAACGAAGATATGATTGTACATGACGCTTGTACACTTCCATCATGCGATATCGTACGCGAACGGGCTTTTTTTTAACGAAACAACATATCGGTGAACTACAAAATGATCAAAAATAGCTTAAATAGTATACAGTATCAACCTACACCGCAGGACGGCCTCAATTCGTTTCTTGGTAGAATTCTGTGGGGATCCGGCTACAGGAGGATTTAAGAGTTGAACTTGGATGTCGAACAACGATACTCCAGAAAAGTAATGGATCGAGATACTGTACATATATTTCTGGCAGTGTAATAAGAGTTCATAGATGCCTTTTATTTGTATCATGTCCCGCGTACAGTATTTATATTACTGTACACGCATACCCCCCCAGCTCGAACATTGTTAGAGCTTGTATAATAGATATACTGTAGACTGAATACTGTATAAGATAATAAGGACCCGAACGACAGACAAGATCAACCATTTGTACATAATACTGTATAAGCAAGATCCCAGATGTACCCACAGCATTGCAGACACGTGTGTATACTCGGCCCTATAGGTTTTTCATGGGTTAAGTTGGGTTTGTAAATAAACCAAAACATGGAATTATATTTTGAGTTTGTAGATAATGTATTCATTTTTAATTCATATCTGCCCATCATTGGTTAACTGCAAGATATTACGCTCATTTTGAGCTTCAATAATAAGAAGTAACCAGCATTGCATCCACGATGGCCTCACAATGCATCGACAGTAACTGTATGTACCGGTATATGAAACTCAAAAATACAACATGATGTGTATCATCCCTGGTTCTTTTTGATCACGAAGAGTAGCGAAAGTGAGACATTCGTTCATGAGCTCGAAGATCTCAACATACGAGGGATGCGGAATACAGTATTCATGTATTGTATTACAGTATGCAGTGTATGTACAGTATTATCCCGAAGTGGTAAATTGCTGCCCGCTACCTGCAATCTTTCCTTTTTTTTTCCTCGAGGGTGCTTTTAAGTGACATCTATCCAATGAATTGGTAAATGAATCTCGAGTAGCTAGTGTTCGCGCATCCCCGATAATTTCTCCGGAATGCAGATCTGATTCCCCGTATTCTAGTACCACTCAGACAGCAGGTCTGTTATGCGAACAGAGTGAATTCAATGTGTTGGATTGTGTGTTTAGGAAATGTGTGTTCATCTTGGGCTTTTTGCCTTGGTTCATGCTGCATCATATTTTTTCTTGATTTCGGAAAGTTTCATCTGACGTAACGTTGCCTCGTGAAATAAATTCAGCTCCCCGAACTCTTATACTGAAACATAGGATTATTTTTTGTCTGAGTGTAATGGGTCGTAGTTCAAGTTTCGTTGTGCTATTGCGTGGTGGAGTAGTAGCTTGCATATTGGAAGCCACGTGCAATTCTTCTGTAATTGATCTGTTCTATGCCGGCAGGTTTCTCAGCGTACTTCTCACGATGAGTGCCGAAGAAGGAGAAGTGCAAACGCCAATCGCATCAGAAGGCCGGGAGTTATCTTTGTCACCACCATCCTTGGGTGATGAAAGTCTCGAATCTGCTGACGAACTTCCTGTTGTCATCCAGGCAAAGCCGTCGTACGGTGATGACGAAGATGTTGTGGACGATTCTCTGAATATTCAACCCCCTCCATTAGCACCAGCGTACAAACGTAGTCACAAGTCTCGTAAAGAATCAAAGAGACATTCCAGATCCAGCCGAGCAGAGAAGCAGTCACACAGTTCGAAGAGCAAGTCGAGTCGGCGGTAAGTCCGTCGTGTACTGCTCCGTTTTCAGTGTTTCATTGCAATGATTCAATGTTTTAGGGATGATCACAGTCATTCGCGATCCAGAACCTCCGGGCGAGCTCATGATCGTGAAAGATCGCGTGTCGGTGATGTTGAAGATCGACGATCAAAATCAACGAGAGATGCACGTCACTTCGAAGGGGATGGGCGAAGAAAGGATGGAAAAGAGTGGTCCTCACGCTCGGGTGGTGAAAGGGACCGTAAAGAGAGAAGTCGTTTGTCGGACGGAATGCGTCGTTCCGGCAATGAACATGGTAGAAGTCGTCATAATAGAAATCTTGAAGCGGAAAAGCATTCAGGGGATCGTCGTCGTCGACATGGTGAATATCTGCGAGTTCCTTCACATAGTTGGTGTTGTATAGAGTAGGTCACCGCCTGTACATTAATAATATGACCCGTGACAGACTTCAGAAACTGTGGAGGGATACACTCACTTCGCGTTGCTTTCAATTATTGAACTTCTACATTAGGTTGGGTCAATTACGTGCTTGGTTGTGTGAGGTTAGTTGTGACAGGTTGAGATATACTATACTGTATATGGTATGTCGGGTATGCTTTACAATCTGTTGTGATAATTCTGATCGTAATGTATTACGTGGTAATTTCCGTCCGGTATGATTCATTTTTTTTTTTTTCTCGTAAGCAGGTGAGGAAAGTTTCCCGGATGAATTCTCGAAGAAGAAGCGTCGCACAGAAGTCGATCGACACCATCGTAGTAGAAGGAACGAAGAACGTTATCGTGATCGTGGCAATGAAGAACGCATGTCCGACAGACAACGACAATCCTCAAGCTCACGGCACCAAAATACACAGCGTCTTCCAAGCAGTCAGCCTACTGCTTCACCGACTTCCGAGGATTCATCAGAAATTGAAGCAGAAGGCGAAGCGGAAGACGAACACGTAGAAGACGAAGCAACGAAGGAAATTGAAGGTTCCAATTCCGGATCTTCCTCTTCGGGAACGGACGAACAAGTGGAAAACGAGGAGAAGAAGGATGCGGAAAACGATTCAGAAACGTCTGAATCAGAGTCTGATGTAGAAAATACTGCCCCTGCTTGGAAACGGGAACTTATGGAGCAGGAAAAACTTGATGCTGAGCGTGAAAGGGCCGAAGCTGCTGCTGCTGCCGAAGAAAGTGATCAAACAAGTGAAGAAGATGAAGATGAGGACTCTGATGAAGCATCTCAGCGTTCAGATGTCGACCATATTAAGGAAGAGGGCGATCAAAACCAAGGAAATGCTGTTGCTGTCGAAGAAAAGCCTCCTTCTCCTCCGACACCCCCGGAATCACGTTTGCCCGCCTATTATCCGGCCATATCAGGTTGTAGGCTTGTGGAAGAATTCCAGTGTCTCAACCGAATTGAAGAAGGGACATTCGGTGTTGTGTATCGTGCTCGAGATAAGCGTACGAACGAAACCGTTGCTCTGAAGCGTTTAAAAATGGAGAAAGAGAAAGAAGGCTTTCCCATCACGAGTTTGCGAGAAATCAACACCCTGTTGAAAGCGCAACACGAAAACATCGTTACCGTGCGTGAAATTGTGGTGGGAAGTAATATGGATAAGATATACCTCGTCATGGATTACGTCGAACACGATTTGAAAAGTTTGATGGAGACTATGAAATCGAAAAAGCAAGTTTTTGTGTTCTCGGAGGTGAAGACGCTTATGTTACAGCTCCTCCGTGCGATTGCACATTTGCACGATAACTGGATTCTTCACCGTGATATCAAAACGTCAAACCTGCTTCTGAATCACCGAGGAATTCTGAAAGTCGGAGATTTTGGACTTGCACGGGAATATGGTTCTCCGTTGAAGGCGTACACCTCAGTTGTCGTCACGCTGTGGTATCGTGCTCCCGAACTTTTGCTGGGAGCAAAAGAATATTCTACTCCAATTGATGTCTGGAGTGTAGGTTGCGTCTTTGGCGAGTTGTTGTTGATGGAACCTTTGTTCCCCGGAAAATCGGAAATCGATCAGCTGAATAAAATCTTCAAAGACTTGGGCACGCCGAACGAACGAATCTGGCCGGGCTATAAAGAGCTACCTGGTGCAAAGAAGTGCATTTTCACCGAGTATCCTTTTAGTCAGCTGCGGAATCGTTTTGTAAGCTACCAGCTGACTTTGAGTGCGTTGGATCTCATGAACTCCTTCTTTATGTGAGCATCAGCATCTCTCATCTTTCTGCATTTAATCACCAATTAGCGTCCGTCAATTTATTCATGTGAAGAACTATTTTCATAATGTTCCTAAGGGCTGATGAACTCATAAAATAATGTTCCAGATCCATTAAAAGATCATGTGACGGTCAATCGATTCCCACGTATATTTTTGGTCATACCTGTGAAAATTTTTTATTCCGTAATTGTGTATAACCGACGAATTAACATCCCTTTTCAAATTTGGAACGCTAGGGGTCTCTTCTTTGTAATTTTGAGATATTCTACCTTTTTCCAACAGGTCAATTAATATCGAGCAGCTGCTCTAAATCTGAAAGAAAAAACGTGATTCGGAAATTTTTGGATGTAATCTCTAAAGTAAACACTGCGTATGAAAAAGCCTTGGTATATTTTCAAACACTGCTCAATATTTACCCTGAAAATACCTGATGTTCATTATTTCACAAAATTCTTCGAAATTTTACTCATTGAGACCTTACATGATGAAGCCTTACGCGCACGAAAAACATTCAGAATGAAACCGTAGTGTAATTGGTTAAAATTAATGAAACCGTGAATTGAGGCAAAATAAAATTTTGAATAATCGAACATGTGAATTTTTTAACGACGTTGAAAGATTCTTTCTATGTGTTTATTTGTTTTCAGCTATGATCCAAAGCGACGGGTGACGGCAGAAAATGCATTGAAGCATCGGTGGTTTGACGAAGAGCCCTTGCCTAAAGACCCTGCGTTGTTTCCAACATGGCCCGCTAAAAGCGAACTGGGACACCGGAAAGGTGGTAACAGTCCGAAACCGCCATCGGGAGGCGGAGAGTTCAAGGATTTAGGACAAGAAGACGACGACGACAAAATGGTTGCTAGGTTGGGAGCAAGTTTGCCTCCACCTGGAATCATCCCTGGGATTCCCGGATCCCTACCAGTCCCAATCGGTGGTACTGGTGGAGGCTTCATGTTGAAGTTTTAGGAATATTGAAAAAATAAGAACTTGTCTGTGAGTCATTTTGTGGAAAGCGAGTGAAAAATCATTGATACTTTTTTTGAATGTATGTTCGCATTTATTTTTTATTTTTGCCACCGGTCGAGCACCTCAGTTTCTTTTTGCGGTGTATCTTTTGCTTTTGAATGGAATCACAAATATTGGTCATGATATTTCAGCTCTTCTTTGGCATTCATGTTCGATTGACGATTTATTATTTTTCACAGAATATTTTCGTTCTTTGATTATCTTGTCGAAGCTGCATTAGGGTCTTATTTTTGGGTAGTCAATGATTTGAGAAATCTGCGTCTGCTCATTGGTGTCCTACTTTAAATCTTGAGAAGATTTCTTCACATTCATTCCCAGAATATGTTTTAGAGTTTAGTGCAAAATTGTATATAATGCAGTACTGAATTGGCTCATCGTTTGAATAGGTTTACTTTAAATCATGGTTTTTTTCGTAATAGGTATTTTTTGGGAAACATGGAATCGAAATATTTCTGGTGGTGCTCTTGCGGCTGGAAACATGCTTCCGCTGATGATTCGGTCACTGTCGATATCACGTAAATAAATAATTTTTCCTTTTTTTCTACTACAGTATCATTGAAAAAGAGGATTTTATCAAAGCCTTATAAGGTTATATTTCGTTGATCTGAAGCACGATGAAGAAAGCGATTCTGTTGCTTGCTCAAGGAGCGGAGGAAATGGAAGTTGTCATCACGATGGACGTGTTGCGACGTGGTGGCGTAAGTTCGTTTGTCTTGTTGCCAAATTGAGATACAGTACATACATTTCTTTTGGTGAATTTTTCATCAGGTCGATGCACAAATTGTCGGGATTGCGGGTAGAGCGCCTGTGGTTTGCAGCCGATGGGTCCAAATTATACCCGATATTGGATTGAAGGATGTACTTGACAAAGAACCTGTTGATGCTGTGATCGTTCCAGGGGGATCAGAGGGTTCTGAAATCTTGGCTGCTGTAAGTTTGTTTTCATAAGTATACAGGCTCTCTTGTTTTCATTCATTCGTTATGTTGAAAATTCCAGGATCCAAACGTTGGAAAGCTGCTGAGAGCCTATGAATCGCAAGGAAAAATCATTGCTGCCATTTGTGCAGGTTCGTCTTGAAATGCTTTCTATGTGGCTTTGACTTCGGCGAAATCATCGAAACGATGATTTGTTTTTAGTTACGTTTATAATGAACTCATCTTTAACGAGTACACTGTATAACTTCATTACAGGTTGTACCCCACAATTCGACCTCTTTCCCAAAATTCGACCTGTTTTAGCCTCTTTTCTAGTGTTTTTGTGTTGTTAGCCCTTGATTTTTTATCGTGTCTCGCAATGTGACCCTAGTTTGGCTACGGATAAGGGTCGAATGTGAGGTACCACCTGTATAAGGCACCTTAGCTTTTTGTTCATATGATTCTTGCAAGTTCAGATGAAAAATCATGTGTGAATACATATGACGGGAAATTCCCGCGTTAACAGTAAGATACAAAAATCTGAGATCAGCTATCCCAAATCAAAGTCATGAGAAGATTCTTGGACACATGAGTTTCCTGTCGAATACCCCACTTTTCACAGCGACAATTCTTTATTTCACAGCCGAGTGTGAATTTTCTCGTCTTTACTTTTCCTCCTCAGGTCCGAAAGCGCTGCAATCTCATTCCATTGGTTTAGGGAAGAAAGTCACGTCATATCATTCGCTTAGAAAATGCCTCGCGGAGGATTATGATTTCGTCGAGGCGCCTGTGGTTACAGATGGTAAATTACTTGCGAATTCCGTCGAAATTATGGCACTTCATCGAATTATTTTGGCAGGGAATTTGATCACGAGTCAGGGCGCGGGAAGTTCGTTCAAGTTCGGTCTGGCATTGGTCGAAAGGCTGTGCGGAAAAGAAAAAAGTGACTCGGTTGAAAGTTCGGTTCTTTTTCGAGGTTGAATCTTACGAAGCGCCGGAAGAATCTCCACTGCGTACCGCTATACGTATGATCTCTACGTAATCTGGGATTTACTCGTTTGGTGATGGACTATGTGATCGTGAGTGAAAAGCTCCGCCGAAAAATAAGTATTTTGTGGATCTCGCTGCATTTCACCCTTGCATGGATTTTGAGGGTATCATTTTGGATTTTCGCCAGTTATCACGGGATTTATTTTTGGGAAAACATATAATTTCTTTAGTTTGATTCGTGTTTATTTTCTAAAGAAAAATGCTGCAGGGTAGCGTTCTAACGGTGCATTTTTTATTTTGCTTCGATGACAGGTGTGAACACCGAAAATAAGTCATTGTCAGAGAAAATGGCCGCAAAACGCGCGCTTGTTCTGCTTGCAAAGGGTGCGGAGGAGATGGAAGTTGTCATCACTGTTGACGTTTTGCGAAGAGGCGGGGTAAGATTACTTACTTTTCTTTTGGAAGTTTCCCTTCCTTATTTGTGTCAGGTACCGGTGAGTGTCTTTTGAGCGTTGTGCAGATGTCGCTTCAAGATGAAAACCTTCCGAATTAAACTACGGTTATTCCATTTTTTGTTCAACCCTCTGAAATAACATTCTGGCGACAGCTATTAATTATTATTTTTTAAATCACGGATTCTGAGCAAGAGGGTCACAGTATAACTCCGATTATGAGGGCTTCAGTTTAATAAATTTATTTTGAAAGTCAACTGTAAAACGGAAAAAACGCAAGTTTTGATGATGTATCAAATTAATTTCTACTTCGATTTTAGGTCAGCGTCCAGGTGGTTGGACTGGAAGGTCCGGAAACAGTGGTTTGTAGTCGTGAAGTGAAAATTGTTCCTGATGTGGGAATTGCTGCTGTTTTGGACGAAGATCCTGTTGATGCCATCGTTATTCCCGGAGGACTGAAAGGAGCTGAAGCTCTTGCTGCGGTTTGTTTGCATTCACCTGTTGTTCAATTGGTAAAAAAATATTTTTGCAATTTTTTTCTACTAGGACTCGACCGTCGGAAAGCTTTTAAAATCTTACGAATCCGGAGGGAAAATTGTTGCCGCCATCTGCGCCGGTTAGTTTTTGGACACTCCACGATTTGTCTATTGTACTGTAGTCCGCATGAAGTGTCAGTACTTCACGGGTATATCTGAATGGTACTGCCCTGATTTTTACAAGGTCACGAAGGTGCCTTTTTCAATATCGAATACGAAGAAACACTACAGATTTAAATTGAATTTAACCTGAGCAAATGTTATCACATCTTTGTGCAACACCCGTATAAATGAAAGACTTGACCCATTAAAGTGACAAAAAAAAAGAAAAACCCCAAAGAAAAAAAAACCGCAGCGTTGAAATCAAAGTTCTTGTGAACTCCCAGATCTTCCTTCTGTCCTCCATTAATTGTTTTAATGCTTCACCGATTCATCTGAAGGTCCAACTGTGTTCAAATCGCATTCAATCGGACTCGGAAAGAAGCTCACCTCGTATCCATCATTCAAAGACAAGCTCGCAGCTGACTACACTTATCTTGAAGATAGGGTTGTTGAAGATGGTAATATTCTTGGTTTTCTTCGCTCGAGATATTTTTTCCCATCCTTTCGAATTTTTTCAGGTAACATGGTCACGAGTCGTGGACCTGGAACTGCTTTCGAGTTCGGATTGGTGCTTGTAGAAAAACTATGTGGTAAAGAGAAAAGTGATTCAGTTGCTGGCCCTATGCTCGTGAAAGTGTAAAACTGATTTGGTTCCCTCAAACTCGTTGCTTCGCATACAGTCCCAGTAGATTATTTGGGAGAGTGATTCTCGAATTGAATTTGAGGGAAGAAGCTGCATTTGTGTGATATTCCTTCGAAGCCTAGTGTATGATAAAAAATAAAACGCATGCGATCAGCTGAGCTGTGGCTCAGTTACCTTTGGAATTCATTGCCCACAATTTTTCTCCCTTCTATGCATTCTTCATATTCGCTCGGGGCTTGATTGAACAATTGTTTTTTCTAGATCCGCGACATGCAGTGAGAATACAGCGTGTATTGTAGTGCAGATTGTTGCTAGTCTCGTCTTTCTAATTCAGAATGTTCGCGCTGATCAACAAAATTTTGGACTGGTTCAAGAGTCTCTTCTGGAAAGAAGAGATGGAACTCACGCTCGTCGGCCTCCAGTATTCTGGAAAGACCACTTTCGTCAACGTGATAGCGGTGAGTCCTTGTTTCAAGATATTCCTCTGATTTGTAAGGATTACTGGGATGCTTGTTTTATTTTGTTATAGCGAAATTGTATTTTGCAACTGTTAAAATCTGTGTGGAGATCGCCACGAGAAATTGCGGCGAAATCGTGGAGTTTTCGTCTCATGTCATGCAAAAAAATATTCGGCAAGATTTTTTCTGATCATTTATTTTCCCTTATGTATTTCCCCCCGGCTTTTTGCAGTCGGGACAATTTTCAGAAGATATGATTCCAACAGTTGGGTTCAACATGCGAAAGGTGACGAAGGGAAATGTGACGATCAAAATTTGGGATATCGGAGGTCAGCCAAGATTCAGATCTATGTGGGAACGTTACTGTCGGGGCGTTAGTGCCATAGTGTGAGTGGATATTTTTAATGACCTTGATTAGTTCTTTTATTGATGGATCAGTAAAATGGTACAGTATTATGGTCTGCTGTTGTCGAAGTACAGTATTTTTATTTATGGAATGAGTATTCTCTATGTAGCCCTGTTGGATACGGTCATAAGGCGGATGTCAAATGAATCGCTGGACCTGAAAATTGTCCAAAGTAGCCTAATCCAAAACTTTGTATCTTTAAATAGCCACCATAACCTATAAATCTAAGAACTTAATAAAAATCACATGGCATGTACAAGGGTCGTTCCTCTTGGGCGCGACCTTGATTATTTCTAGGGTAGAAATGACTGATGAAACAAAATTATGATATAGCCCATGATGATAAGTGAGAAACTTTCCAGTTTGAGCCGAAGTTCGGGTGCTAAAAAGTAAAATTTTTATTGTTTCAGCCATTATCTTTTAAATTTTAGATACTCTCACATCTTTTCTAAATTTTATATTTTCAGTCATGCCTACTTATAAATAACTGATGCCACACCCAAGTGGGACAATCCTCGTATGCATTAGTACAGGCAATTTATTAGTCTTGTGCGTATGACGTTTATGTTGAAAACTTCTTATTTTGTGCTGTATAAGAGGAAACTGTTGAATTTAGGTACATGGTTGATGCTGCGGACCAAGATAAATTGGAGGCGTCCAGGACGGAGTTGCACAACTTGTTGGACAAGCCGCAACTCGCGGGTATCCCAGTACTTGTGCTGGGCAACAAAAAGGATCTTCCGAATGCGTTGGATGAGAAGGGACTTATTGAGCGAATGTGAGTCACTTTTTTTTTAGACTAGTGTGTCTTTCTCAGGTCGCGATTGATGATTCAATGCTTTACTTCAGTAGTATTACTTTCTTGGCTAACATCTGGCTTCAAGAATGTTACAATGCAGTTGGAAGCCCTCATATTCATGTGATAAAATTTCATACCTTGTCCCATGCAACGAAAAAAGGGTGTAATTTGGGTAAGATGTCCCAGGCAGTCGAAAATCAACGCTAACTTTACGCGTCATCCCAAGGTCTCATACACAATCATTGCGACAGTATTGCTTTTTTCGGTGAAGAAAGTGATGTACAGTATTTCCTATATTTTCTGCCTTGAGCGATTGTAGAATTCGTTTTTATATCTTCTCAATTTTCGAAGCATTTCTGGGTGCGTTTCACCCGACTTTCGTAATTCGTAAAGTTGTTGACTTGTCAGCGAAACACTGACTTTTCGGACCTCAGATAGTAGCCATTTTCTAGGGCAATTCGCATTTCAATCTTTGAACGGAATTAATATTGATGAAGGCTTTGTTCAGAAGGATTTAAGCGACCATGTGATTGAAAATCTTAATAAATTCGTTTTATTTTATTTTTTTAGATTGAAGTTAGACATGATTATGTTCAGAGTGAAGAAATGTTAATTTTAGCTCCCAGCTTATTTTGAATGTACTGTACGAGTATTGGGTGTAGTTGAAGCTCTCGCTAAATTCATCAATGTGTGATTTTTTTCGATTTCATCCAGGAATTTGTCGGCAGTACAGGACAGAGAAATTTGCTGCTATTCAGTTTCTTGTAAGGAGAAGCAAAACATCGACATAACCCTGCAGTGGCTCATTGCGCATTCCAAAAGCGGCGGACGTTGAAGGCATACTACATCATTCATGGCCTTTTTCTGGCCGTATTCCTCCACCGTGCTTTCTTTACTTCCTCCTGCTCCTTCGTTTTTCTCTGTAGGGCCCAGAGGTAACATCTTTTGACCATTATCGTAGACGGCTACAAACAAAAGCAAAATAGAAAGAAAACAAGTTGCGTTAAACGTTTCGGGGTTGCAATTATCCCTCGCTGTTGCGTCACCCGAATAGCGTTTTGTGTTCATATCAGTTAGTTTCTTCCTCTTTGGTGTTTCTCCTTGTAAATGCGTTAAAATCTGGGCGAGGGGCGTTCGGAAAGTCATTTCTCTTTTGTTTTCTTGATTCTACTGAAAATCGAACATTTTTATGTTGAAGCATCCGGTAAGCTTTTTTACGTTTTTATTCCTTGCCTTTTGTAAAATTCAAGTTTTTTTGCTCGATAGAAGCACAGTACACTATTGCGTCGAAAAATCATTTTAATTCACGTGGGGAATTTTGCAGGCAAGTTTTGTAACCTCCGCGATCTGTGGCTCGGTTACTCGAGCTTTTCCTTGAACCTTCTGGAAGCCCATATTTTTTGGTGTGGTAGATGTCGCCTGATGTATGCTGAATGTCACATTGGTTTGGGTGAATCAATGCTTATATGTTGGTTAGAATTGATATGTCATTGTTCGAGTCAGTTATTCAGACGACACCTACCTGACGTTCAAGATAGTGAGAGCAAGAGCAGTCGTTCAAGAGAAAAAGTACCTAAATGTTATCTCTTTGTGAAGTTTTTCCCGAACATCGCATATCACTCAGTGCAGAATATTCTTTGCCGTTTCTCAAGCAGGTGTTACAGTATTTTGATTATACCTTTTTTCGAATTGATAGCTGTTTTTTAAAAATTGTATAGAATCAAAACTTGGAAGTTTTCTGAACGTCCCTCACTGGTTCATTTGCTTTTCGTCCTTCGAAAAATTCCGCGTTTCACTGGGTATTAATTTTGTATTTTTATTTCAAACCGCAACCTTGTCCGCCTCTGTGTTGTTCGCGTACGTCATGTGATTTTTTGCGCTGTTCTGGAGGGAGGATTTTGATTTTTTCGGATTCGCTGAAACGGATTTTTAGCGGGAGACGCGCAATCGTTTACGTCTTTATTTTTTTTTCGAAATCATTGGAATCAATCTCGATTGAGACATCTGAAGCGATTATTACGAATAAGTACGCGTGTGTAGATGAGCGGATGTGATGGGAAGCATTCGAGAAAATGTATCCTGCGGAAATGTGACCGGGGATTTCCTCCCAATGATCATAACTCAACCATGTGGATAATTTATTGAATTCAGTCTTTCGGAACTCTTCTCGCGAGGGGCGTTCAAGGAAGTTCTGTGCCATGCTTTTATCGTATCACTTCCTGGTCAGCTTCCAGCAGTTATCTGAATTAATGATGCACGTCTATGCGTCGTGATTTCACGAATCTGACGAGAATTTCCTCGATTCTTTTGAAACATGGATTCTTGAAGAAAGAAAGGTTCTGGATCGTTTTCAGGATGTAGTGTCTGCTTTGAAAGATAATCTTTTTAATCCCGTGGCGCAGAACGAATTGAATGCCCGTCGTTTCATCACGATCTTGAAATTTCCCCTCTACGTTTTTGCAGGCGTGAAAGCGAGTGATCTGAAAAGACTCTTTTTGATGTGTTACGCCGACTATGTCTTCCGGTAAGCAAGCGTTGCAGCGACAAACGCAACAAGACTGGGAGAACCGCGCTGACGTTGAGGTTATAACAAGCAGCATCAAGAAAATCGCTGACTTCCTGAATTCGTTTGGTAAGTTATCCTTGTCTATTTGCATCTCTGATGATGACTGCGCATTTTATTCATTCATTTTTTCCGTTTCGTTTCTTGGCCTTTTAGATATGTCCTGTCGGTTCAAGCTTGCGGAGTTGAATGAAAAGTTGACCGGCCTCGAAAGATCCATTGAATATCTGGAAGCTAAAGTAAGTTGTTAGACCATTGGGATTATCACATTGGGAAAGCTTTGATCTGTGTGGACAATTTATAGGGTATCCAGATAGTTACTGGACAGTGTAAACGTCAGAATTTTTTCATGTTCAAAATGCTGTGTGAAACTCATGCAGATTTGTGTCAGAAATAGCGTTGCATATTTTATGAATGTCGGACAAGAATTTCGTGAAGCTCGGGAAAATGAAAATTGTTTTCATTATTTCAAAGAAAATTCTACCCGGCACCCAATCAAATCGAGAATGTCCTTCATAACTGGCTGTTGCAACCTTAATTACGATGAATAAAAAATAAGTGATGGAATGATCTCTCATTTAAGCGTTTAATTCAGGTCCTCAGATTTCTAAGGTTTTGAAGTACAGTTCAGTAGTGTTAATGAAGAATCGGAGTAAAACTTATTGGTTCACCCTTCTAAATATTCTTATGTATATTTTCGCAAGTTCGTTTATTTGAAGCTGCTCCTGGCGTGGGAAACTTTTTTTTTTCTGCTGCAGCGGATCACGGATAGATTTATCTTCGTTCATTCCAGGAAAATCGGGATATTCCCGAGTTTCGTTCCAGAATTAGTACAGGATATTCAATTGCTCTTTTGTTGTTGCAGGTGTCTAAAGGAGGAACATTGAATTAAACGTGGCGATGTCGGCGAAGGAGGAATTCATCGATGCGCAGATAAAATGTGATAAATTTTTCAGCTCATTAGAGCCTCCAGCAAACCTCGTCACCGATGATGTGGATTCGTTTTTGAGGCGTCATGCTGGCGACGAAACCCCGGTCGCAATCGTGACTTCCGGCGGAACAGCAATCCCGATTGAACGCAACACAGTTCGCTTCATTGAGAACTTCAGCACCGGAACTCGTGGAGCCGCAAGCACTGAACATTTCCTCGCCAACGGTTATGCTGTCGTGTTCCTACACCGGCATCAATCCATTCAGCCATTTTTCCGCCATGTGTCTCTTGCGGAAGTGTTCGACGAGGGTTTCCATCCGGAGAATGTCAAAATGCACGAATTGTATAACGAGGTGAAGAGAACGAATCGGTTGTTGCGTGTGGGATTTTCGACGCTTTGCGAGTATTTGTGGCATTTGCGGCGAATTGCGAAGAGTGCGGACCAGTGTGGTAGTCGAGCCCTGGTGTATCTATCTGCTGCAGTCTCGGATTATTACATCCCGTTTGACAAGATGGAGGAGCACAAGGTGCAATCTGGTTGCGAGGCGCTCACGTTGCATTTGGAACCCGTGCCGAAGATGGTTTATCCGTTGAGGAACGAGTGGTGTCCGAAGGCGTTTGTGGTCACTTTCAAGCTGGAAACGCAGCAGGACTTGCTTGCTGATAAGTCTAGAAGTGCTTTGTTGAGGTACGTGCTGCATTTGGTTTCATGTTTTGAGGCTTTTCAAGTTTTTGTTCTGATTTGTGGGTTTTTTCACTTCAAAGATGTGCAGGTGTCAAGTAAACGTCTGTTCAATCAAAGCAATACCTCCAGAAATCAATAGTCCACTTGTGTAAAAACGCAGAAATTTTCCTTTACTTGTGTTCGAAACGCAGAAATTTTTTATGACCGTATTTAAGCTTAAGTTGGCTATATCAAAAATTTTTGGCAGCTTTCAATCTTGTGGATGAAAAATCGGCAAGTTTAAAACATACTGTAGTTCATTTGTTTTACAATATTGATTATTGAGTAGAAATAGAATAGAGTGCTGCCAATTAGCAAGTACAGTACTGTATTTCAGCACACTACTTTTGAAGGTATTTTCCTGGAAAGATCTAAGAACTCGTTAATATGGTACAGTGCTTACTTTATTCTTAATTTAAATGCTCCGTTTTTATTGAATCATCCACAAAAATGTTAAACTTCATTTATGTTCTGTACTTTGGTTATTAACTTGGTCTTTTCCGACCAAAACAAGATCCCGTCGTGAAGCATGTGTTTCCAATACTGTACTGTATTCTGAATATATAAGCTATATAATAATACCCGTTGTCTGAGGCGAATGCTTGAACAATCCACTGTTTCGTCTGCAAATCTTGATATCTCTATGAACCTATGATTTTAATTCGAATAAAATAGAAAGGTTTTTATTTGTTGATGCATTTTTTTCCCTCGTGTACATAGGTATGGACATCAGCTTGTTGTGGGGAATCTTTTGGATACAAGAAGGAGAGAAGTTTTCATTTATGATCAAAATGGCTCCGTGCGTTTGAAGCTTTCGGATGCAGAATTTACGGAGGGCGCAGAAATCGAGGACAAAATCATATCTGAAGTTGTTACTCGTCATCGCCATTTTCACAGTTCGCCTTAGATGTGTATTTTCTGAACCAGGTTATTTATTCTTTGGATTTTGCGACTCGAGGAAGGTATAAAGAAGTCGCTGATACATTTCTGAGTGGCGTTCAGTATTATTTTCATGTTTTTTATTTTCCTTGTGGTCTATTACAATTCAGGATTGATCATCTTTACGACTTGGTTCCTTAATTTGAAAACATTCTTCAGGACTAGAATTCTGTTAACATCAACTTTCTCCTTGCTGTTACTGTATATTTGAAGATAGAGGGCCCCTTTTTTACACTTCAGTACATGTGATATTGTGATAAGGAATATGATTAGGTATGATGTACAGTAAAGAAATCGAATTGAGCAAGATATTTTCATGCTTAGCCATCTTCTGGATTTTCTTAGAGATGAAAGAGATCATCGGCCGAGAGCAAGTGATTTCTTTTGCGTTAGTGGTTTCTTGGTTGCTGTTTGCCTCGCTCGGATTTGTGTGTTCCATTATTGCGGCATTCCTCTTCATCATCATTGGGAAGGTTTTCCGTACTGCCGATGCGAATCTCCGCTCTGGTCTGGACTTGGCATCACTGAATTACTGGTGTACTCATGCTGTCCTTGGAGGGATTTTCTTCATTTTCCAAGTGCTCACAGTGCCGCTTGGTTGTGTACGGGTAACAGAAAATGTTTTCTTCGCTGTTCCGTTTGCCCTGCTCTGGTGGTTAACACAGCGTCTGGATGGAGTTCCTCGATTGATGAATCCGATGGTTGAAAAGTAAGTCATTTTTTGCGTGCTCATGAGGGGTGCCCAGCGAATTTAAACATGATTGAACACTTTTCTAGACCAATTTATTTTCATTTTGAAGAAGCAAGAAATATCATTTGTGGTTGAAGGCTCCAATTGATCACTTTTCAAGTCTTCATATTTGAATGCATAGAATCACGATTGCTGCGGTCATTCAAATTTAACCATGCAGAAAAAAGTGCAGGTGCAGAGATAAAAATCTCTCTCCAGAAGAAAAAAAAATTGTTGCTTGATTGTTAGGATTTTGGCTCGAATAAATAGCAACTTCACTTGATGCAGACAACCTCCTATCCAGTTTGTAAAAATACTACTTTTTAATCCTGAACTTGCAGGGTCACTATCCTAAAGAATTGACCTGAACTTACTTTCAATCTATAATTTTATTTTGTTCTGCTCATTTGTAGAGCTGGTAGAATGTTGCTGCGTGAGCGATTGTTGAGGCTAGTTTTTGGATTTCTGGCTTTGATCATTGGAAGCAACCTTGCGTTAACATCTGCCTGCAACTCTGTTCCTTTGATTGAGGACTCACTGCTACTGTTATTACCAGATGACTGCACAAATGCTTATTCGGACTTCAGGTTAATGTTATATGTTTCATGTATCTCGCTAAGTGTTGACCTAATGAAATCTTTTCTTGCAGGTCATCCATTTCCACAGGAGCTACATCTGTTGGCCTTGTCTCGTTTGCTGTCATGCTGATACAAGATGTGTCGACTATCCTTGGGTGAACATGGAACAAGCAAAATTCCCATGATCTATAAGAGATGGATGGAATATTTTCGTGATATTTTTTGTTGTGTTCATCTGGAAGTGAATTTTTGTTCTTGCATTGAAATGTATACAATTCAACAGAACATTCATTATCACTTCCGACGCAATGCCGCGTAACAAAAGAAATCAATGCACTTCAAAATTTCAGGGCAGCATTACGATACATCTTCGGATACCGTCGATCAGGGATTATATTATTTCTGATAAGTTTCCGTGGAGGAATATGTTTGAATGCTTCCTTCCAGTCTCCTGTGTTCTTCATTGTGAGCAAAATATTCATCATTTGGTTCAACGTCAGTGATTTCCCACCATGTCCCCAACTAAAACAAAAATAAGAGTTCAGGTGAATTATGAGCATGAATAATGAAGGTAATGAACAATGACAAGCAATTGAAGTCTCACTTCAATGCTTTCCAGAACAAAGGTCTCCAATAATAAAATACAGGTAGACTCTCATACAATACACCCATCGATGAATATTTTCTAAATATAGTAACTATTCTTTTTTTCCTTAGTGTTCTCTCCCCACGTGAAAGGCGTTCAACAAGATATATCTAAAACAATATATATCGTGTATCTACAACAAGATTCTCTCTACAATGAACTTATCTGGCAATTTACATCTACGTAATGACTTCACTTCATATTCCATGTTGGTCTTCTCTCTGAACATACACTACTTCTTCACCCAGTGAAGCAAAGCACTGTAAAGTAAATAGTCGAAAGCATATATTTCAAGGTATTATTCTCTGGGAAATGAAAGAGAAACCTGCAAAGGTTTCAAAACAGCCGACAAAGAAGGGTTTGCTATGAATATCAACCGTTCCGAAAGAAGATCTAGGAAATGAGACTCTTCGGGTAACTCAAAGGGAAGTAAGCGTTCTGTGACAGATAATAACTCATAATTGATCGTATTCTACTGTAGTTTCACAATTCGGAACAGAAAATGCGCTCATAGTTCCAGGGACCTAGGGTTCATCTCCAACAATTATGCCACTAAGAATACACAACTAGAAAGCAACTCACTCAAGATAACGATCCAGAGGAAGACGCCGGAATTTCAACCCCAGCTTTTTTGCCTTTGCCAGTGACAGAGGTTCTTGTTTGGTTTTGTCCACAATGGCTCCAACTATGTAAACAGCATCATGATCCCAATGGATGAGATCATCACGGCAATGAGGGGTCAGGTAAACCAATTTTTCCTGAAAAAAGTCATGATGATAATCCTCTCCAAAGAAGTGCAAAGGGTTCCCGAGAGAAGCCTTTAAAGGAAGTTGCTCACCTTATCATAATGATGCATGAAACAATCATCCGTTAACGTGATGGGTAACCAAGGAGCTCTAAGTGTAGGCATCATCCGTTCAAGAACTGAAATTGTACGCCCAGTAGCAGGAGCTGAAGAGAAATCTGAAAGAATATGTTGAAAATGAAGTACTGTACGACCAATAAAAAAACGTTGTGATTTATGGATACAGAAAATAATGAATTTACGCTGATGATAAAATAATATTCTGTCAGCTTACATCCACTGGACACCTCTGTGCGTAATCTTGAGACAAACGCATATAGTTGCTGTTCAAAAAATGTTCCAAATCTTCACGACCTTACGAATTTCACCTGAGGCATTACACTCACTTTTTATCTTTCAAACTTCCTGCAAAAATTCATTAAAAGCATTTTCAACGTCATAGAACTGGGGCAAAAATCCTCATTGACAACAATGGATTCACTAAATTCTCCCGATCTTGTGTTTTCTGTAACATCTTCATTTGGAATAGAGTTCATATTTCAAATGAATAGGCGCTCTTTTTCACATCGAGTTCAGCTTTCATTTTTTACGATTACTGAACATTCATTCATTCGAGAATTCCTGATGGAAATTTCCAAGGTCCCTTGAACAAATCGTTTACTTCCTTCAGCTGTCCATTATTAAACTGGAGGATCATGGAGGCATTTGGAATCAATTAGCCCTTCAATTAAGCTTTGCAATACTAGTCCGATAGCTTTTTCGGACAACCCAGAGGAACACTCACGAAGATGAAACGGATCAGGGCTCATTCGATTTGCAGCGAACAAATTCATGAGCTGCTCGGCACAATTTCTAGACTCCCGCATTGACATTTGATCATCGAAGCCAACGTCGACCAGAAGTGTCTGGCCGAATTTCATAGCATTCGCAAGACGATAATTGCCCCACATGTCGATTGTGCGGTCGTAGACTTTCAACAAGTAGCTATTTTGACCAAGACCGTAGTTGATGTGTTCATTCGCTGCACGCTGAGCAAGCACTGCCTCTCGATGCAGTTGTTGCGCAATTTTGTGCTCAGCTTTCTTCTTGAGTTCATTTTCGCGAGCCTTTTCGGTCTTGAACAAATACATGAAGAACCTTCGGCGAGATCCTGGGCCATTTAGGGATAGAAGCTCACTCCATTTGCTGTCCGGGATAACGCTTGGTGCTTGCTCACCCATTTCCTCCAACATGTATCGCTCCATTTCAATCAGTTGCTTCCTCTTTTCCAATTCGATGTCCTGGACTGATGGTTTCATTTCTGATGATGGGCGCAGCAATGAAGAAGAGAACGTTCTCCAGCCTGAGGCACGCTGAAGATACCTTCGCAACATGGCACCAGATCAGGAACAACCTTTACAGAACAAAAAAGCACGGATGATTTTGCAACATACACCCATTTGTGCTACAAGATCTGAATGAATGAAGTGATCATTCTTTGCGTTTCCTTACGATGATGGGAAGTTTAAGCATTTGAGAAAAAAAAAAGGATTCAAGGAACTTAAACAAGCACAAGACGCAATTTTTCAAACCTTTAAAAAGTTCCAAGGCAAATTGAAGGTGTCATGACCAACCCGACAATAAAATCCAGATTCACTGAAGTTAATTTCAAGCAAAATCACTTCAACGAACAATAACGAGCCTACCATGAAAACTAATGGTAAATCGAAAAATATTTGCATGTCTTTACGTAGATCATTCAAATAAGCGGAAATTTGAGGACCATCAATTGTGATTTGTACATGAATCCAAGACATCGCCGATTTCAAAACACACCTTGGCTTTCAGAAAATATGCAAAACCCGTCTCATACTACAGTATCAGGAACGTTGAATTAGGTATGACAGGAATTATTCAAATCGATGGAAACGCAAAAGATCGAGGAAAAAAACCGACCCTCAAAATAAAATACACGAAATCAACTTTAATTAAAACCACAAATAAGAAGAATAGAATTGTTTCCCGAAGCTGCACCACGCTCACAAACCTTCAATCATCCCGGTAAAATGTTTGTCACTGCTTCACAATCAAATGTTACAGAGCTTAGACAATTGCAGCAGAGAATGGCACCGCACTCGCGTGATCTCTTCCTTGAACTGAAGAAACCGCAACCGGTTCAAGGCACGCTTATCCGCAGATAAACCGGAAACAAAAATCACACTAACTCTAACCTTCGAGAGAGGCCGCGTGGAAAACGCCGAAAAGAAACATTTGTCACTCATTGATGACCTGGATCACAAAGGTCACTTCTGCTTCACTCCCATGCTCTGAAGAAGCTCCTCAATGATGACCGAGAGCTCTTTCACCTCTTTCTCCTTCTGAGAATATGAAATTTGGGCACTTGAAAGCTCGGATTCCATCAGCCTCAACTGGCATCGTAAGGCAGAAACTTCTCTTTCCTTTGAAGCTTTCATTTCCTCCACTTCGCTCCAAGCTCTGAAATCAGAAATAGAATAGAAGTAAGCAACAGCTCCCGTGTTAACACAAACAAAGATTAGTACAAAATGCATCACAAATATTGCATCTTGAAACAGAACAAGCAGCAAGTCTTAAAATGTAATTGACTACACATCGATAAACCTAAAAGAAAAGTTCACCTTTCGATTTTGTCCTGAGCGGTTTCCACCATTTGCGATGCAACCCGGTCACTCTCCAGTGTTGCGGTTCGAGCTTCTTCAAGAGCTTGTTTCAGCTTCTTCTCATTTTCCATTAAGACAACAACAGTCTCTTTCAGTCGCTCTGCTTTCCTGTCGAATGAACCTTTGTATGAATTACCTGATACCAAAATATTCGTGAAAATAACGTACGAATGGATGCTGTTGAAAGCTATTTCGGTTTCACGAAGATCTTCTGTTCTTTGCTGAAGTTCTGTCTTCACACGTTCATACTCCGCAGTGAGCAATTCAACCTGCTTATCAGTTGACAAATTTGACGAGTTCTTCTCCAGCATTAGTTCTTCCAGCATCTTTTCATACTCCTTCACCACTTTCCTGAAAAATAATTGATCAACGTTTTGAAATACTTCCTTGACTCGATTTCTGACTCACTTGAACTGTGTTTGATTTGATTGTAATTTTACAATCTCACTGGCTTGAGACTCGTTGAGCTTCTTCAAAGAATCACGCTCTTCTTTGACAGAATCAAGTTCCAGACGAAGAGAATGAACTGTCTTGTCCAAGACTTCCTTTGTTTCTTCCAGTTCCTCGATTTCTCTGCTACTTGAAAGGTCCTTACTTCTGATCTTATCATGCTCCGCAGCCAGAGATTCTAGCTTCCTTTTGAGCTCATCGCGTTCCTTGGAAAGTCAAGGAAATCAATCACATGTTAAGTTAAACTCTTACTACCTCATCACATTCACTCACCTCAGAGATCTGAGAGATCTTCTCACTGGGTTCTTCATAATCTGATCGGGATTCGCGGAGCACCGGCTGACGTCTGGCATTATTTGACACGGGTTCTACAGCAGAAGAAGCTCCACGGAATCGTGGTGCCTCCACAATCCCATTGAAACTCTCCGACAGATCATCATCGTTTTCATCTCGCTGGTCACCCGATTTCAACGAAAAACGGAATGAACCGTTACTTTTACGAGACTCCGATTTGCTACTCTTCTCGCCATTTGATGGAGACGAAGCTTTTGAAGAGTACCCGGAATCAAGGCTCAGCAAGTCTCCACCGCCTAAACTGCAAAGAAAAAATAGGAAAGATTGTACACGTGTAAACTTTGAGGCACATCGCACGGAGTTCACGTAAGCAGAATCACTGTTCGGCGTCCTAATCAAGGTCACATACACAATTTCACATCCGTCAGTGCTTCTTTGACACTACAGTATATGTTTCTCTTCAGTATTACCCCAGCGTTTAAACATTTATAATCAAGTAACCCGACTTCGAAAATACGAGTTCAACCCCATTATTTCAGCCAGCTCATCTCCATCTCCCACGTCAATAACGTTTCACTGGGCTCCGCCATGTTTTCCCGCTAATGCCCTCTATACATCAAACGTTATTCTACTTTTCCTTCACTTCAATCCTGACATCTATGAATGCCTCAAGTAAATAGTGTACTTCTAGCCATTTAAGTACTGTACAGATAATGCAAAATAAACTGAAAGAAAATGAAATACTTTATATACTCACCGAACCTTATTAACCCATTTTTTGAAATCCTTCATGGACCCACCCACGAAGCCCCCAGGCATAATCGACAGGTACCTTCACAATAATAACTGTCCCGTCTCAGCTGACGATTTTCCCAACTCCACTCATCAAAAATCACAGCGAAACGAAGACAATATTACTGCGCATAAAAAGTGTCGTGACTCAAGATGATTCGCGATTTTCACGTAGAAAATTTTCCTGTGCAAGAAGCGATAAAAATAAGAAACAAGAGACACTTCAAAACCGGGGTCGTCACGCAGTAATCATAATTTGCCTCCAGGTCACATAAGACAGAGAAAATCGCCAGTTATTCCAAGGCAAGCGCAAAAGGGCATCTTTCTCCAATACATCCGCGCGGTCCAAAATTGCTTGGACACAATTTTGTTTCTTTTTATTCCACGACTTCCTATAATCGCACGCTCAAACCAGGTGACCTCAAGGCCATCACACACACAATTTGCGGCTGAAAACGTGCGTACAAAAAGGGGCATTTCAGAAGTCTCTGCTCATTTATTAAAAATGATGCTGTATTGCTGTTATACACGAGTAATAAAACCGATTTCCGCCGACATCGGGCATGCAAATCTAAATTGCGTTCACATTTGCTTTCATTGGCTCATTATCAAATATCTAGATAACGTTATGATTTTCGAATTCTAATCAACACAATCTTCTATACACAAAATGGTTTGGAACTAATTAGAAATTTAAGAATTCCTCACTCCCGTTCTCAGAAATACTCAAACTTATTGATCACTTTGGAAGCGTTTGAAGAGAAACGAGTCTTAATCAATAACTGAAAAATGACCAGAATCAAAGAAATCCTCAGAATTTTGATTCTTTAAAAGCAATTGAAGTGATTCTTTTCATTCCACTTATACATTTTACAGGCAAAATATTTTCATTTCTGTCAACGAGACACGAAAAGCGCAATAAATTTATGGTGTCGCATTAATTTTACACTCAACAGAAATTCAAAAATGCGGTACTTTATTATCCAGAACTGACTCAAATTTTCTTATCTGTTCGATGATTATACTGATCCTTCTTAATTTGCACCAAAATTTTTGTCTTCGATCCACAGACTAAGAAAACTACACGTACATACCCGGTGTAAAACAGTAGAGCCATAATTCGATCGGGAATTGTAACAAAGGAATTAGAAGTAACTTGCTGATGAGATTATTAAATAATTATTGAGAACAGTTGGCGAAAAAGCTCAATTCCACTGAATCGAAGCAAAAGCGAACGGACATTTTTTGAGAATCATGTCAAAGATCCAGGATATCGTGCCAAAAATGCATAAATAATCACTGATTATTATATTCAGTCAATTATTTCTTGTATCTCCCCCTTAATAATCCCAGCTTGGCTTTGCGTACTTTTTCACTGTTTCCGAGATTTAGAGTATCTTATTTATGGTTATTCGTCCGAGGATGATGTTGAAATTTGTGATTATTTAAATATAATATTATTGACGCTGAATTCAACTAATTAAAGGGTCAATCGAAAAGTGTTTAAATGAGTGAATCGTAGTAAAAAAAAAGACGCACATTTAAAAAATTTCAAGGTGTGTTAATTTTGTGAGAAAGTTCGTGACTTATAATTGTGAAGGCGACCCCTCGAACCCAATTGAGAGGCCATTTTCTCACTTATTGATGACCGAGGGCACATTTCTTCATTAGCTGTAACTTGAATACTTCTCGTGAAAGAAACCTTATGGGTGAGCAGTGTCAGAAAGTTCAACTTCTCAGGCTTTCTAGGATTTGCATAAAACAGTGCTTATTTAACCCTGATCACTGGGTGATTTAGAAGACCGCGGAATGCACCACGACTGCGGTGATGAGACGGCGTAAATTCGGCGGTCTGAAGTTCACGAACTTAATTACCGAGTTTTCATACTGTACAGATGTACCAGTATTCAATTCCCCAAATGCCCATATCGCGTTGAATTATATTGATTGAAATAAGTTTAAATTCAATTTTTATTTTCATGGAATTATGGTGAGTATTTTGTGCATAAAACACCAATAAAAAATTATGCAATGTAAGTCTAAGGAAAATGAGACTCGACTTAGGGACATTTCCACTTGGGGAATGGTGTTAATGGTGTTAATGCACCAATTACGTCCGCATCTCGGGGTCTCACTACTGTACTATCGTAAACTGAAGTCAGAAATTTTCAAACCCAGCACATTTTCATATATTTTCATAATCTAGAAAATTGAAGATATTCCAGCGGTTTCCTTGGTCCTCAGAGGTAGAATGCATCAATTCGGTTGATATGCAATTAGTCTTCAAAAATGTAGACTTTTTTGGTTTCTTTAATATGAATGATGAATAATAATCCGAAGCCTGATGCCTCGATTTGTCAACTTCCAAAATGAGTAAAACTTCGATGATTCAAAAGTTATTCTCAATTAACTCATATACACACTTCTAGCTGATTTTTTTTAACGCATTGAAAAACCTTTGCAAAAACTGCTGAGCCGCAGGCTCACTAAAAGGTTGAGTTCTTCATTTGCAATTGTATTCAATTTAATAAAATAAAAAGCGGCATTCTATGTTTCACAGTTGGTTTTCTTTAATTTTTGGGATGAATGCGTAAATGAAAAGTTTGATGAGATCAATGAAATTGAAAGACAAATTGTGGGAATAATGAGGAATGTAATTTTGTTCACGCAATTAAGATGCGGAGAAATCGACAGGAAAAAAACAGATAAATACATTAAAAAATATCACGATATACAATTTATTAAAAATGACTAAATTGTTGTCTAAAAGTAGCAAAACTTTCATCAGTCAGCCCAGACAAATTTAAACTTTTCAGAAATTTCCTCAATTTAATTTCGGAGATTCGTATACAGATTTCAAAACCAGA